ATCTGCCAGTTATGATTAGTTTTGATTGGAACAGGCAAATTTGTCCGCTAAAAATAGTCTTTATGGTCGCTTGGGAAAACTCGGACGTTGAAGGTGGTCAAGCAAAGTTTTTAAATTTTTTGAAAGAACCCTAGCCGAATGCGGCCCATGATTTCAACGAAAGAAATTTTGTGCTTTCAGTAAGACTATGAAATTTCAAGCGTGCTGTTAGTAACGTTTGAAAGTTTTTAGCTAATGTTCTTTTTCTTTCTCATATTTAGTTTCCATTTATTTTTCAGGGCTGGTTTTAGGAACGGAGGGAAAAATAACTTAATTTTTTCATGGTAAAAACATTTCAAAAAGTGCCCAATAACAATTTTTTGAAACAACGTGCTCGGAAAATCAATTTGACCGACCTAAAAAAAATCACGTTCCATATAAAACATTTGATCTGCCCCTGTTGTTTCGACATTCAATTTTTTTCGCCTTTTTTCTAGATTTGTTTCAACTTTAGGCCTTTTGAATTTTTAGCACTGGAATTTAAAGGACAAAAATCATTTATATTAAATTTTTATTGTAAGTCGTCTATACATGATGTTGAAATATTCAATTTTGATAAATAGAAAATGGATTATAGCCTGAAGTTGTATCAAACAAAAAATTCAATTCGGATCAATTATAATCACACATGACCATATATTTTTTAAACTACTCTGAAATTTTTAAAAACTTAGCGTTGCTTTTGGCTCAGCTTGTGTTGCCTTAGATAAAATGACTTAACTTTTAGTTTCTACTGTCCCCCCACCCATGCACACACTATCCCACCCTCACCGTTACCCCCTCCAGCATCATTACGAGGCCAAACTGTGTACACTCAAAAAAATGTTAAGGTAAAATTACCCTAAATGAGTTAAGGTAAAAGAAAATTAAGGTAAAATTTACCCTAACATTACCTTAACTTTACCTTAAAATTTTGTTAGGGTAAAATTTACCTTAACTGAATTAAGGTAATTTACCTTAACTCAACCTTAATTTTACTAAAAGTTTTTAGGAATGCATTTAACTAAACAGGAATAAGGAATAAGGTATTTTGAGATAAACATTGGATCTCGTAGCCCACCTATCAAATTTTCAGTTCAACCATATAAGTGATAAAGTTTTTTCTAAGTATATTTGTATGCATGTATGTATGTATGTATGTGTGTATGTATGTATGTATGTATGTATGTATGTATGTATGTATGTATGTATGTATGTATGTATGTATGTATGTATGTATGTATGTATGTATGTATGTATGTATGTATGTATGTATGTATGTATGTATGTATGTATGTATGTATATATGTATGTATGTATGTATGTATGTATGTATGTATGTATGTATGTATGTATGTATGTATGTATGTATGTATGTATGTATGTATGAATGTATGTATGTAAAAGTGAAGAGAATTAAGGTTTTTTACCTTAACATTTAAGGTTATTTTACCTTAACTTTTGTGTTTTTAAGGTAAAAATTTAAGGTAAAAACACCTTAATGTTAAGGTAAATGTAGTTAAATTACCTACTTTTTTAAGGTAAATTTTTAAGGTAAATTTACCTATAAAAAAATTTTTTAAGGTGTTTTTTAAGGTTGATACACCTTAACTTTTAAGGTGATTTAAGGTAAATTTTTAAGGTGTTTTAAGGTAAGTTAAGGTGTACTTAAGGTAGTGCAAATTTACCTTAATTGTTAAGGTGTTTTAAGGTATTTTTTAAGGTAAATTTACCTTAACTTTTTTTTGAGTGTATGCTCTGGTCCTTTCGTTTTCTTTAAATGTTTCGACAAAACTTAAACCTGTTTAAAGATTTGTCTCTGGAATCCAGGAAAATACAGACACAAAAAAATTGTGCGCCTATCCAGTGCACAGTTTGGCCTTGTAATGATAGATGAACAGATGCTAGGGGTGAATAAGGAAGAGAATGAGAATATGGGGTACGTGGTTGGGGTGATTGTGAGGGGGGTGCGTTGTGGGTTGGGAGGGGAGGTTGGGCAGCTGGGGGGCGTGAGGGGTTGGAGAGATGTAGAGCGTTGGATAGTTGTACACTATTTGTTTGTGTTCTAGTTTTGCCAAACGCTGCAAGAAAAGAGTCAAAATATCTGCATCTAAAAATTTTTTCCCAAACTAACAAAATATTGGCTGAATGCAAAGTCAACAGTGCTGCATAAGGAATGAAACCGACAGACCTTCAAAGGATGACCCTCGTTCTCAGTCAATGTGATATAAAAACAATCATGAAGTTGAGTGGTCTGTTTTCTTGAATTAACCTCAGTGAGAATATGCTCAGTGACATCTACAAGGTATTGCAAAGCCACAGCACACCCGTGTAGCTCTTGATAAAAAAAATAATCGACGGTTTAGAAACAAGGAGAAGGTGAAAATGACTCTCTTGGTTGATTTCATGAAACTGCTCAAAACTAGATTTTTCCACAATTCAAAAAACAGTTGAACTGAAAACCCAGATGTCACAGTTGAAATGTATATCGGGACATGAAAAAGCAGGCTTCAAAAATCATATTAATTTAGGCAAGTAAAATTAAAACAGGTGAAAGTCTACTGTAAACGCAAGCTGCCGTACAGTTTATTAATCAAGCACAGTATCCTTCTGGGACTTTTATGATGCGCACCACTATCACGAGATCAAAAAACACGCAAAAACAGGTAATGTCAACACCCAGCTCGGTCTGGTCAAAATGTGCTAATGGTTGAAGAACTTTTTCATCTCAGTTTTTCAAAACTGCGTCCAGATAATTCTCAAAACAATCGGAGGTTTAGAATCAAGGAGAAGGTGAAAATGACTCTCTTGGTTGATTTCATGAAACTGCTCAAAACTAGATTTTTCCACAATTCAAAAAACAGTTGAACTGAAAACCCAGATGTCACAGTTGAAATGTATATCGGGACATGAATTAGCAGGTTTCAAACATTATATTAATTGAGGCAAGTAAAATTAAAACAGGTGAAAATCTACTGTAAACGCAAGCTGCCGTACAGTTTATTAATCAAGCACAGCATCCTTCTGGGACTTTTAACATGCGCACCACTATCACGAGATCAAAAAACACGCAAAAACAGGTAATATCAACACCCAGCTCGGTCTGGTCAAAATGTGCTAATGGTTGAAGAACTTTTGCATCTCAGTTTTTCAAAACTGCGTCCAGATAATTCTCAAAACAATCGGAGGTTTAGAATCAAGGAGAAGGTGAAAATGACTCTCTTGGTTGATTTCATGAAACTGCTCAAAACTAGATTTTTCCACAATTCAAAAAACAGTTGAACTGAAAACCCAGATGTCACAGTTGAAATGTATATCGGGACATGAAAAAGCAGGTTTCAAACATTATATTAATTGAGGCAAGTAAAATTAAAACAGGTGAAAATCTACTGTAAACGCAAGCTGCCGTACAGTTTATTAATCAAGCACAGCATCCTTCTGGGACTTTTAACATGCGCACCACTATCACGAGATCAAAAAAACACGCAAAAACAGGTAATGTCAACACCCAGCTCGGTCTGGTCAAAATGTGCTAATGGTTGAAGAACTTTTGCATCTCAGTTTTTCAAAACTGCGTCCAGATAATTCTCAAAACAATCGGAGGTTTAGAATCAAGGAGAAGGTGAAAATGACTCTCTTGGTTGATTTCATGAAACTGCTCAAAACTAGATTTTTCCACAATTCAAAAAACAGTTGAACTGAAAACCCAGATGTCACAGTTGAAATGTATATCGGGACATGAAAAAGCAGGCTTCAAAAATCATATTAATTTAGGCAAGTAAAATTAAAACAGGTGAAAATCTACTGTAAACGCAAGCTGCCGTACAGTTTATTAATCAAGCACAGTATCCTTCTGGGACTTTTATGATGCGCACCACTATCACGAGATCAAAAAACACGCAAAAACAGGTAATGTCAACACCCAGCTCGGTCTGGTCAAAATGTGCTAATGGTTGAAGAACTTTTTCATCTCAGTTTTTCAAAACTGCGTCCAGATAATTCTCAATACAATCGGAGGTTTTATTAATTTCCAAGACAATGCATAGTTCTATGGAACACCAAGAAGTCAATTAAAAAAGGTCTGGTGGCGCTCAATGAAGGACTACTTGGAAAACGTCACCTCAAAGCTAGTTGTTTAAACTTACTTTTTTTACAAAGAAATTGCGGTGTCCGCCGATGCATCCGATCACGCAGTTGGCTTTATTCATTCGCATGAAGGTCCTACAATGATTCAGGTTTCAAGAAAACTATCAGCAGCTAGCTCTAACTAATGCATTATTAAAGGAAAAGGTCTAGCGATTTTGTTTGTGGTGACAAAGTTGGAGAAGTTTTTTTCTCAGGCTCATATTTATTTCACAAGCTGATCGCAAACACCTGCAGTACCACCTTTTTCCAGATGGAGAGATACTGAAAAAAGCATCAGCCAGAAAAACCAGCTGTCCTTTTAATCTGATGAAGGTCGACGACTAACTCAACTTTGTGCCGGGAGAATAGTTTGTGCCGAGAAAAAATGTTCATTTTAAAGTTGCACAAGATCTCATAAATTGTTTAAAACCATTTTTGTTGAAAGTCCTTGATCTCGTAACGACCCAAAAAACTGATTTTTTTCATTTTAAAAAGTGTTTACTATCTTTTGTAAAATCATTAACAGTCGAATCAAATTTACAGTAAAAAAAAATCCAACTCTCTCAAAATTGTCTGTACAGGTAGCGTACATTTATCAAAGCTTACATTTAATTTTCAATATGGTTTTGATAATTTAAACTAGCTGCAAAAAACCTAATAAACTTCCAAAAAAGCCTGGAGTGGAGCTGTTTTTCGTAACTGCTGATATACCTCAGAAAAAACCCCTTTACTTCACTTATGGATATATTTTGGTCTTAAGTGCGCTTGCAATTCTAACTTGACGCGGAGAAACTACCCGTTAATCTGCTACCTCTCATTGATTGAAATCTAAATAATGAGTTTTGATTATCTTTCAGGGAAAGACTTTAGAAGAGACGCTTCTAGTTGTCGGCAGCTGCAAAAGTGTCTTTCTCAGAGTTCTCAACTCAACCGGTGAACTACTTTGGGAATTCAATCTTGACGAGCCCAAAATCCAGGGTCGCAAATGGAGACCCCATGACACTGCCGTGGACAACGAGGGCAACTTTTTAGTTCTCGATAGCAGCGGGAGAAAAGTTCTCGTTTTCAACAAGGAGGGAAAACTTTGCGGTCAGTTCGACCCTTTTTCAACCAAGACAGGACAGGCATCGAAACTTGCGGTCAATTCGGAAGGACAGATTGTGCTTTTGGAGTCAAATCAAGGAAAATTACTAATATTTTAAACTAATATCATCAGAATCTTTTTATATAATGAAAAAACAAAAATATAATTTCAATTAGTACTCTGATCTGATTTTTAGATATAATTTCAATTAGTACTCTGATCTGATATTTACCTATAATGATAAAAATGTATTTGTACATCAACAAAAGCATTTGGAAACAATCAAATGAAGGAGGGTCGAATTTACGTTTTAATTTTTTCTCAATTGTACACTGTTCCGTTCAAAATAGTTCATTTCAAAATATACAGATTAATATGCACTACAAAAAAACTTATGGGAAGCGACACAAATTAAGCGACTTGATAGGATTTATACATAAGCAGCATTTTTGTTTTTGTAAAAAGCCACCAAAATGTTCACGCGACTTGATGTGCGTTCGTTTCGGTGGAGAAAGTTTCTCCGCGTTGATCCGTCGACGGCAGACTGCGAGTAGCCAGTGCCACCTTCCGATGCTCCTCGTTGTTGCGGGGGATGTCATCAGGGCGCTCTTCCGGCTCGTTGGCGTTGTTGTTTTCAACATTTGCTTCCTCTTGGCGAATCAATTTGTGTCTGAATCGTCTCAGAATTGGCAGTTTGCTGATTTGACCTCGAAAAAATTCGTTGAAAACAAGATACGTGAATGGGTTTATAACGTAGTTGAACAAGTACAAGGTGTGAACAATCAGCTTTGTTCCCATTTGAGTAGTCGGCGAAATTTTGTCCAGAAGTTCATATGGCATGAGACGGAAAACCGCTAAGTATAGCGTATATGGCGTGCAGCATATTATGTAAGCTGATGCGACGGCTAGCAACGCTTTCGTCAGTCTCAGATCGCGCTGCATTGTTTTAGATTTCGCCCTTTTAGATGCATGTATAACGTCAGCTGACGAGCAGCGATCAGCTCCCATGGGGCAACTCGACACGCTATCTCCGCACTCGGACTTCTGATATCCGAGAGTTAGTTTGCTTCCGAACGAGCCTCGTGTGCTCGGCATCGGCTTTGCAGAAGCGACTGAAACTGGGTCAATGGCGCTTGACCTTTGAGCAATGTGCTCAGTTAGGTTGTTCTCACCCTGATAGTCTTGGATATCCTCTTTGCCTTTTTGTCCGTCCTGCTCGTGAGCTCGCGTCGGCTTCGAAGGTGAAGCGATTAGCTGCATCTTTTCAGGCCCTTTCCTTAGTTTTTCAGCTGTTTTGATACTCTGTTTCAGATTGATAGCTGAGCGGGCTGAGAAATAAGTGATGGCTATGATGATAATCAGGTAGCACATACATGTACTGATAGTCCAGTAATGGTTGCTCATGATGAGTATTTGTTGTTCGTATTTGGGGAAAATGTTGTTGTAGAAGAAGCAAATTGGGGCGAAGAGTGAGGATTGGATGATAGAGATGCTAAATATGGCCACAACTAGTCTCATTACTAGTTTCGACGAGAAGATAGTTCCGTATTTGAGAGGGTAAACCACAGCAATAAACCTAAATCAAAGATAGTTTCAATGAATTTTTGTCTTCAGTTTCAGGTGTAAACGATGGTTTTTTTAAATTAAAGGAGTGGGTTAACGCAAAGTTCCAAAAGTCAAGAATAGTAACTGACTTAACTTTTTGAAAAAAGTTTTTTTTTGCAGCGTTTTTGTCGGTTTTGTGAAAAAATCTATTGTCTTAGGTTGTATAACTTGTTTTGATCAAATGGCGTGCAGTGTTTTGGCATTGACTATGAAAACTGAAACATGCACACACCTGTTGCCAGCTGTGAGGACCATCATGAGCATGGACACCAGAGTGAAGAAAGACTGCATAAAGTGGTCTGGGAGACAAAGTTCCAGGGGCAGTCGGTGGTCATAGAACACCTTCAGAGTATTACTAGTGGCCCAATACACACAACACAACACATCAATCGCAGCCAGAACCATTACCAGGTGCTCGCTTATCACCCTGTTGTTCTTACCGTGGTAGGCGTATATCACGGCCGAATTGCCCATTATGCCGACTAGCGCTATCAGCGTCTGCGCCGTCGATATGCTGAACTGGATCTCGTCCGAAATGCCAGACGTGAACGCCGCACCAAGTTCCCCGCTAAAATTGAAAAAAAAAATTCGATTTGTCTCTTTTACTCAACCAAAATAAAGGAATGAAGATACTTTTCCAAGAACTGTTCTAAACAAGAAAGAGACGGACAAACCCAATCAATCACATTTCAGAAATAAAATTTATCATAATCAAACTTGATACTAGCTGCCTAAGTTTTAAGATTATTCAAGAGTTTCATTGAATCTTACCTTTCCGCCAAAATAAACATGATAAAATAAATATGATTGCGTCAAACCCAGTTTTTTATAAGAAAAAATAAGACTACGACTTGAAGGCAGTCCGAAATTTCCGACTGCCTTTAGGAATGCTTTAAGAAATTGAAAAAAAAAGTCGGAACAATATTGCTGGACTTAAAATTCAAGGCTCAACTTCACAAAATCAGTAAGTGGCAAAGAGAAAGATGTCACGAAGGGTTGAAACCATTTGAATATAGTCCTTTTTTATATCATTTCCAGTCATTGTTCAGATTCCAAGAGTCCAAAAGGTTATTTTTAAGAAATTGTACAATTTTTACAAGAAAAATGTCTCAAAAATTCGATTGTTCTATAATTGTCACTTTAGTAGTTAAGTAGCTTTATAATCTTGAACTCTATATCTTTAAGGCGATAAAAATTATTTGATAAAAAAAAATTAAATACCTTGCTACAAATCATCTCCTTTTCTTCAAACATAGATGTACGTTTTGTGATCATGAGTCGCTTGTGACAATTTGTTGCTAGGAAACCGTATTTTAATAGTTTAAATCCTTTTAATAATCTACAATTGCCCAAAATTAGCTTGTGGAACTTAAAAGGTTTCCTCTGTCATTTTACGGTTTCAAAAGTTGGTTTTAGTAGCTAACAGCTAGTTAAAAATTAGGATTTCTTTCCGATATAAACTACTAGCGCTAATGAAAGGTCATCATAGTCAATTAAAGTTAAGGCGTGGGTTGTTGAAGTATAGTGCAATCATTCCGCGCTTCGAATCGTTCCAAGCTGCTCTAAAGCAAGCTAATTGGTCCCAATATTTCCAATGACACTCAAACTGTATTATTTACTAAATTTTGTTCTAGAAATCTAATGAAGTGAAAAAAGAGTCTTGTACAAAAGTTTAGCTTGTAGACCTACTTCAACATGATGAAATTTCCTCATTGTCTTGAGCAAAACCTGTTGAAATGTTGCAAAAACATCAGCTGTGATTTTAATTTTATTAAAAATGATTTTTAAATTGTACTGTTTTTGCAACGGCAGAGCTACTTGTAATTAGTATTTTCGTTTTAATTTTGAATTTTTAATTTAAAATTTTCACAAGCTTTCACAATCTTTGCAAAAAAAGAATTCTTCTAAAGTGTAGAAATTCAGAAATTTAAGAAACGTTTTATTGTGCCGACTTTCAAAGGAAGTGACGGAATGGAATATTTGTGCTCGAGGTGTTTCTTTTCTTCAGATGCCTTTCAAACTTTTAGCCAGGAAAATCTGACGGTTTTTATCAACAAAAAACTATTGTTGTCTTGAGTATAAGTTTAAAGAAAACACTCGTGGCCCTTTTTTGTAATTTTATGGGGGTTTAAAGATACTTTGGATAATTAGCGAGCGATAAATTTTGTGCTATTCACGCGTAAACGGAGATTTAATTCCTCGTAGAAATAGTATCAACTTGAATTGATTCATGATGCTATTTGGTCTTTTGAAAAGTTTGCTAAATCAAAAATATCGCAATGTACTTTGCATTGCGTGTGCGTAAAAAAAATACTAGGCATAGATTGAAAATATATTTTTTTCTAATATTGCAACAATGATTTAAAACTAACAATTTTCTATAGAGCTTAGAAGACAATCGGAACCTTCAGATTTTCGCCCTGACACCAGCAGTTTTGTTGAAGATTGAATTTGGATAACTTCGTCAATTGAGCCATGAAATCTAGATTTGAATACTAGTTTGACCGAAAAAATTCTTTACAAAAAACATGGTAGAAAACAGATTCCCTTCTATACCTGCATCTTTATTGCAACAAATCATTGTTTAATTTACCTATGAAACCATCTTTGATTCATTCAGACCTATTTTTTTGAACATTTTTTAAGGACTCAGTGTTTTTATAAGATCAACGTTGATTTTATAAATGGCCAGAAAAACTAGACTTTTTAATCAGCGATAAGTTTGCAATGTTTCATCGATGGATCCGTGCCGGGTCGTATATTTGCTGACAGCGATCAAACTTTGCAAATTGATTTCTCAAAAAGTTTTAATCTCATTTATTCAGAATGGTATGACAGAACATCTAACCAAATCATAATAGAACGCCAAACTAAATCAAAATTATACTAATTAAATTTACAGAAAATTTTTTGAATAAACAAAAAGATGAGATATAGCAAATCATCGACTTCTGATCAACTTTAAAATTTCTGATACGCCTTGCATACCCACTGATACGCCTTGAATTATTCAGGGACTAAAAAGTTGTAGATTTTAAGAGCTGATGATTGAAATAACTATGTTCTCAATTCCAAGAAAAAAACATCAATCAAACTTGAAGAAAAGTAAAGAAAATATTTGAATTTGACGTTCTTCAAAATTTGAGTAATGCAAGTTTTTGTTTCATTTTATTCGTTTTCGTTTTTTTTAAAACACTTTCCTTTCTTGTTCCGGTTTCTTTCTTGTTACCGGTTTCATTTTTTCATGTGTTCAATTTCTCTGGCAAAAGGAAGTCTTGGGCATATGCATAAAAAAACTTTGAGCATAGGCAAAACAAAACGATTTTTTTGACAGTAATCCTTGATGACCCAAGCTACTTATCTATTGAAAGATTCAAATATGTGGATAGAAGTTTGACCATAAAGGTTATAAAAACTCCAAAACCATTCAGTCTATCATAAAAGATCATCAAAATGATCCGGTTCACCGATAATGTTTTTATGAGAAGGATGCAAAAAAAAACTTTTTAGACTTTTTTCATAAAGGTATGGATCCAGTTCTTAGCGAGGAAACAATCCACCCCATCGGCCCAATGCTCCGACAAAGAAACCAATTGGCTAGCCTTGCCCGAGAAAAAAGTCAATTCAGAGCTTGATTGAAAACTTGCAAGTCGAAAACATAAAATTTTCGCAAAAAATGTTAAAATAATCGAAATATTTGTTATTATTCAAATTTTCTTTTATGACAAAATTATGTCAAAATTCAACGAACCATCATCAAGGAATCATCCAGGAATCATGGTTTTATATTAATCCGAACAATTACCGTCAATCAAAACATCTGATGTAAATTGAATTCTCCCTCAATTGCTACTACTCCATCGTAATTTTTTTTCTGTCTTTTATATTTGATGAACATGTGCCTAACGTCAGTTTTTTTAATCTTTGTTATTAAGCGAAACGAGTCAAAATCAAGCTAACACGGAGAAAACAATGTGAACCCTGATTCATCGCTGCAAGATAGCTTATCATCGATAATTCATCGTCTCTACAGCTTTTCATAAATATTTGACAATGGTGATTCCTTGATAATCGGAGAATCTATCTAAACTATCGACACTCATAGTTAAAATGGGTAATTTCAACCACCGGTCTTTGATGTGATTCAGTTGGTACTGATTGATCAATTAAAATATTTGCTTCATCAACCTGGATGACGCGTCAGCCAGAGTGACCTGCTGTATTGATCATGTGACAAAGAGAAATTTTTCACGCAAAAATGTTCACCAAAATTAAATATATACAGGCGCGGATCTAGGAACTTCTCGAGGGGGGGGGGGGGGGGGGGGGATGGATTTTCAAAAAAAAAATTGAAAGTTTTGTCGACCTTTTTTTTAGGTGGACCAAATTGATTTTCTGAGCTCTTCCAAACCTCTATAAGGTCCCTAATTTGACCAAATTTCCTGCGCCACGTGCAAATTTTTGAAAAAAAAAGGCAATAAAAGGCGCCTTTAGAAAATTTTTCAGGTGACTCAGCCAAAAATAGTGCAAATATTTTAGGTGACTCCAGATAGTGCAAAGGGGGACTCTTTGGGTTGGCAGGCGTCCCCCCCCCCCCCCCCCTCCCCCTCCCCCTTTAGGTCGGCAGGCGCAATATGGAACGTTTGGGACAGTTAACGGGCAATATGAATCAAGCTATTACCACCTAAGCTGAGATTTAAACCGTCGTATAAATCGTTGGGCGAACCAGGCTATTTGCCTTAACTGCCACGTTACAAGAAGCGAAAACTATCCCTTTGTACTTTAAATTGCGCGTGGTAGTTGATTATTTAAAAACAATTAAATTTTTTAAATTATTTTTCTTTTTTTAACACGGCTTCATAGACCTAGCAAGGCAGTCGGAACATTCCGAGCTTTGCCATGATACGATCAGTTTCGTTTTTTATCTTAATTTTTGCGCAGATATATTAACGGCTATTTTCCAATAAGTGTGTTTTGCTTCCGTATTGCAGGTTATCGCGCAAACCGTAAGATTGAGACAGAAAGTCGAACTAAAAATAAGCTGACAGAGAAAATTTTCTTCATGCAATTTATCAGTTTATCTGTCATATATTACTGATTTCCTTGCGGTAGCTTCCCTATTTAGAAAAACTAGTTTACAAAAACATAATTGACTATATTTTTCCCTTTTTTCCTGATTCACTAATGAACGAAAAATGGTCCTTGAGGTATTCAAAGAAAAGTTTGTGAGCTAATTCTTGTTTATTTTGGCTTTCAGATTTTGTTGTAATTCGAACATCAAAGTTTATAATAGCACGAAAAGTAATACGCGGTAATTGTCCAAATTTGGCCAAATTGTCAAAATATAAACCACCCTAACTTTACAAATATAGTCATGGGTGAAAAACTTTTTTGAATTTTAGCACAAGCCAAAATACTTTTCGAATAATATCAAAAATAGATTTCGTCAAAGCCTGCTAGTTAAAAAGTCGAATTTTTTCTGAAGAAAAAAGCACCCTTAATCTCCTTCAAAGATAATCGGAACAAAATACAAAATCAGGAAAACTTCAAATTTTCTTGGTGGAAAAA